ACAACAGTTTCTGACCCGACACGGTAAGCTCTGCCCCTGTGAACATCAGACTCACCGTAGGCAATTTCGAGTAATCAAGCTGGGTTGACCCGACCCGGAAACAGAGATCCATTGCGGTTTGGAAAACGAAACTTGGGTCAACGGTGAGAACCGATATGGTTTGCTCGGTAAACTCTGTTTTCAGGACGTTGTAAACCGGAGCTAGCAGGAATGTGAACTGTGTACCGGAATCCAACATAGTCTGACCGGCTCCGGAACGATCCGGAAGAAAATCGGAGCTAGGGATGGATAGCACTTTCGACCCGACCCGAATTCCTTCCAATTGGACCGTGTAAGCGAACCGGTCGTAATAAGGTAACCGGTCGGTTTTGATTACCAAAGGCGTGTATTTGAGAGGTGGAAGCGAAGGGAAACTCGATTCACCGAGAACCAAAACACCGGTAGATTCAGAACCGGAGATACAATAAGAGAATTTAGATAAACCCATCTGGTTAACAAACGATAACCGACCTCGGTTCATACCCATTAAACCGGTTGTTTTAGCGTCTTCTCCTGGTGTCGTGCTTGAACTCATGTCCATGCAACCGAATGACGTGGCAGGTATCGTCGACGACCCGACTCCGAACGTGTCTTGAGCGAGGTTCCCATCCATGGAGGAACCATCGGCGTAGGAAACAGCCACGTGGCAGAGATTAGCCTTTTGATCACAAATGGGAGGATTGGTTAAATCTTGGGTTTGTGTGGTGCAAACCGGTGAAGAACATGGTAGAGAATTGTAAGAAGATGATTTTGAATGGTCGAATATGGAGGTTAAGGTTGGAGATTGTTTGCAATGGAGCCATGAAAGCTCGCTTCCGGTGTCTAGAACCATCGTGATTGGCTGAGGTGGAGAACCGGCGGTGAGAGAGACGGTGAGTGTAACATCATGTGTGAATGGAATCCTGATTGGTGAAGAAGATTGAAGGAATGTTGAAGAAGAGTTATGGAGATTTTGAGTAGTTAGAGGGAAAATGAGTGTTTGGTTTGTAGGAAAGATTCTGCATAACACGAGAGGGAAAATTGTTAGAAGCAAGAATGTGATAATTTGGAGAAGAATCGATGATGATGAAGACATGATCTTTGTTTATAATTCTTGTCTCTTTAATCTTTGATTATGAGCTAATACTTATATTTATATATGCATGCATGTGTGTCATATATGTGTGTGATTGAGTATTTTGCTAAAAGGAAAGGAAATCAAAGAGAGTGTCAAATGCATTAAAACGGGAGAAGGAAATTAAACCAATAAGTAAATTCTTGGTAACGGTTAGAATCAAGGAACCAGATACGTGAATGATATTAGAAATAGATTGTTTGATTTTGTAGCAAATATGG